GGACGGGAACCTAGCAATGGCCAACTGGGAGAACGTTCCTGTAGTCAAATCTGAAGTTGGACTCGTGGTTCCTACGATAAATCTGGAGACAGGAACCTAGCTGACCAAATCTGAAGCTGTAGTCGGGAACCTGGCCGCCCGGAGATGGGATCCTGGAGGTAGGATTAGGGGAGAGCAGAGATCTACCCGGCCGCGGGAAGAGCAGAGGTTTTGTTGGCAGGGACCTGGACGCAGACCTAGCCGGTTGCTAGTTTAGGGTCATGGCTCTGATACCATGTTAGAATAGAACCCAAGGTAATTCTTTTTGATGCAAGGAGGGGTATAAATACCCATTACAATATCTACCATTAAGGAAAGAAATAAAAACAGAATAAAGAAAAAAAGAAAAGCATATGAAAGCAAATCAAGGAAATTAATCCACAAATCTGCATATTAATATTCTATTATTCTAAAAATAGCCAATTTAAAATTAAAATTTTAACTTTAAATGGTTTAAAAAGCCTGCGTTGCCACACACAGCTCAAATCATTCCATCATAGCTGTTTTGGCTTTCCATTTAAGCAAAGGTTATATTTAATCTTCTCTCAATCTGGGACTAAAGGCTAAAGGAAAAACGCATTTCAGCTTTCTCGCCAGAGGAGTTATTTTCTTATGGGGCATTTACATACATACCACCCAATTCATATGTATTTACATATCTAACATCTAAATTTTGCTCCAGCCAAATCCTTGATATCACATAAAAAATCATCATTTGAACTTTTAAAAAGTGAAATACATCTTTTCATGCATAGGTGAGGTGTCAAGTATGTAAAAATTTGAAATTTAGGTGTTAGATATGTAAATGCATACAATTTTGAGTATTATGTATGTAAATCTTCTTTTTTATATATTTTTCAGTATTTTTTAAATAGTATAAGTTTCACATGAACTTTATTAATTTAAATAATATTAAAAAAACATTTAATTTTGAATTAATTTAATCATAGTTTATTTAAAATAAATTAGACTTTTTAATAATCATTTATTTTTTATTTTTAATATGTCAATCTCGAGTTTTAGTCGAGCATCTTATCGAACTTATTCACAAGTTTTAAACAATAATGTTCACAATCATAAATGAGTTGACTAATAATGTGTTCAAGCGTGTTAATTTAACAATCTAGTATTTTAACAAGTGTTCAAGCTTTTTCGACCATGTACATAAACGATTTTTCGAATGCTTGGTTCATTTGCAGCCTTAATGGCTATTTTGTTTCTTTTCCTTCTGATTTTTTTTTTTTCTTCTGAACATGACCAATAGTAGCTCTCACCATGGACAATAACAATAATATCCACATATTATTGATCTTAGGTTTTAATAAAATTCAAATAAAATGGTTTTTGTTTAGTATTTGTAATTAGTCAATTCGTGGACTATTATAAGTATTGGAGAGCTTTTAATAGGAAACATACATAGCTTGAGATGATGAGTTAAGGAAACACATAAGGATTAAGCTAGCTTAGAGAATCTTTGTCTCAAAAACGATTAAATTATAGAAATTAACCAAGCATAATTCTTTTGATAATAATACCAATCCGTGACAACATATAGAATTAAGTATGGACAATAATACTTGTATACTCAATTAAAAGTAGCCAATCCACAAGCTATTACAATTCATGTCAGATAGAGTAGTTTTTCTTAAGCATAGATTTTGGAATAGAATGACACCAAAATAAGAACATAGAGTTTTTTATTCTCTCTTTAATTCATGGACTATTGTAATCATTTTTTCCTTAAATTTGTATGTTGTATAGTAAAAGTTCTTTGAAAATTGTATAAATATTACACGAATATTGAAATAAAATATTAAATAAATTCCTTTAAATTATTTTCAAGTAGAGCCAATCTTCTTTAGCATAGATTTTGAATAGCTTGTATGACAACAAAATGAAAACATGGCTACAATGGTGATTCTAACTAGTTGTATTCTATGGGGTAATCAGATAACTCAAGTAACTCCCTAACTCCACTTGACATAGTTGGCTTAACACATAGAAAGAGCCTCTTAACAACATTAGGATCAGTTCCTCGACTTCCAACAATCTCTCCATTTAACTAAGTAGAAACTTAGCCTAATTCAAATAAGGCTCTGGAAGTTGAGTCCCTAAAAAATTATGCAAGATCGGGTTTGAAAGAAGACATGTGGAACACCTTTAAAGCGGATATGAACTGCTTCAAACAAAAAAAATATACCAAAAATAATGTTGTAATCATCAATCGGACCAACATGGATGTTTCAATCATCAATCGGATCGAGATGGCCAATTTTAAGGCTATCACATTGCTTGAGGTTGTTTTGGGTATAAATAATCTTAAGGCTAGTTTATGACAACTCAACAATAAAAAAATTATTTTTTTTATTATTTGGTAGGTTGGCTAATTTTAATTATGTTCGAGACAAGGGTTATCTGAGCTAGCTTAATTCTTGGTAGTCTGCAAAACTAATCATGTGCAGGATTTATATATCCCATTAAGACTTAAGAGGTAGTAGAAAGCATCATCATTGATCATTAGCCTTATCCTTCCTTTTTTTTTAATTTGGCATCATCATTGATCATTAGCCTTATCCTTCCTTTTTTTTAATTTAATGAATCCTTATTCTTCAATCACTTCTGTTTAGTCTTATCTTATTCTGTATAGTTTTTTATGCATAGCTTCTTTTTATATCACCTTTGATCTATCTCTTCTCTTTTTCGTAAGTGCAACTCTTCCATCGCTCCTCTGGTATTCTTTTTCAATTTACAATTCAGCCAGCATAATTGTTGTTTTATAAAATTTGCATCTATCTCTTATTGTATAGTATTCCTGAGATATTTCTCCATTGCACTCATCTAGAATTAATTCTATGATTTATTCTTATTAATATTCTGAATTTTTTTTAGTGTATAGATTTAAAATACATAAATATAGCATGCCAAGATTTGCTTGGATCTTATTGTAATTAATGATAAAAGAAATAGAATGAAGATAATATTGGTAAAAATCATCATAATTCCAAATTGAATATTTATGTTTGCCAAAAAGGAATTAACTAGATAAAATGGATTAATAGCTTAAAGGGATCGAGATCATAGGAGGTGAGTTTGACCATTTTGTTTCTGACTAGATGGCAGTTAGATAGCTTTAGGAGTACTCAAGGATTTGCTACCCTTCTCAAATAGCATAGAGAATTTTAGAGTGAAGGGAATGTAATTCACTGAGGGGTCGTTTGGGATATATATTATTTTGTTTATGTTTAGACTTAAAGGAAGATTTTATAAAATGGTGGCGAGAAATGTTGGCCTGTAAAATGTTGGTCTGTAAAAGAGTAGCATAAGATTAAGCGTTGTTGAGATGAGAATGCTCAGGCGGATGAGTTGCTTTACACTTCGAGACAAAATGGAAATGAATATATCTGTGAAAGGGTTGGAGTAGCTTCAGTGGCAAACAAGATTAGAGAGAGTTGCTTTAGATTGTTTGGTCACATTAAACGTCAATCATTTGATGACCCATTTAGGAGACTAGATGTTTTAAATTTGACTTTTGTTAAGAAAGGTAGAGGTAGACCTAAAAAGAGTTGGGCATATTGTATGAAAAATTATTTTAATCTATTAAAATTAAATGAAAATATGACAATCAATAAGACAAAATGGAGAAAAAGGATTCATATAGCTGACCTAACTTAGTAGGACAAAGGCTTCTTATTGTTGTTTGTTTGTGTTTGTGTTTTGATTTCAAACATGTGTTTTATATGTAAAATAAAATATGATTATTTTCAAAAACATTCAAAATATTTAAGAGTTGTTTTGAGTGTTTTTAAAAAGTTGTTGATTTCTTTTTAAAAATAAAAGCATGATAAAATTACACGTAACGAGTATATTTTGAAAATAAAAGTAAAAATAAAAATAAAAAAAAAAGAAGAAACAAAAAACAAAAATAATGCCTCATGGATTCTAAGTTTACTCACAACATGTGATCAATATATATTTCATTGATTCTCAAGTAGAATCAAACAAGAACATAACCATAAAAATGTTTACATTTCTTCAAATTTGAAGGGAATTGAAAACCCATGAATTGAATCAAAAAAGGAAAGGAAATAGGGAGAATCCATGTGCCTTAATGCAGAATCATGCCGTCCCATTACACCTCTTACTTTATAAAATTTGCCTCTAAATCTCTTTGGTACTCTTGTTATTTAGTACTTTTGAGATAGTTTTCTATCGTAATTATTCAAACTTAATCTATATCCTTCTTTTATTATATAAAGAATTTAAGATAAGCAAATGTAGCGGGCCAAGCTTTGCTAGAATCTAATTGCAGTTTTATAATAAAAAAAGTAGATTAAAGATGTTAAGGGGAAAATAATTTATATGCCAAAATGATGATCTCCGTTATAAGCTAAAATAGTCAATTTCCAACAAAGTTATGGGATATTTAATTATCCAGCCCACCATAAATAGATTTATAAACGTTTAATGCGTCTCAAGAATCTTATTACAGTTATATTCATTGGAAAAATGAAGTGATTAGTTTTCTTTTTACCTGTGAAGCAACCGAGTTTTTGTTTTAGAAGATTTCAATACATACCACTCAATTCTTATGTATTTACACATTGAACTTCTACACTTCAATTTTTACATACATACCACCTCTACCTATGCATAAAAAGGTATATTTCACTTTTAAAAGTTAAAATGGTGGTATTTTGGATGTGGTATGAAAGATTTAGGTGGTTTGAATGTAAAAAGTAAAGTCCACCTGTTAGATATGTAAATAAATATGAATTGGGTGGTATATGCATGTAAATGCCCCTTTTGTTTTTCACTCATCATGATGTCAAATACCAAGTATCTTTTTGCCTTTCTTGTACTAAGCAACATAATCACTAGGATCTCAATTTTTTCCAAGTAAAAAATAAAGAATAAAATCCATCGTTAATAATAATCGGTTCTTTTTTTTTTCCCTCTATAAGGCATCCAAACATCAGCAGCCAAAATGGGGCAATTTGTTTAGACATTTTGAAAGACCAATGGAGCCCTGCCCTCACTTTGAAAACAGCATTACTATCACTCCAAGCTTTGCTTTCAGCTCCTGCCCCTGACGATCCCCAGGACGCCGTGGTTGCTCAACAGGTTTTATCCTCAGCCTAATCTCTTTTTTAGTTCACTTTTTTCTTAATTTTGGAATCTCGAGTGCCAAAGCAAAAAATTTGATGTCTGCAAAATTTAGGATTTATTTGGGGTGGCTATAGATAGCGGGGAAATCAATTTCTTAAAATTTTGTGGTGGAAATTATAAATATTTCTTTTCTAAAAGGTCGTACAATAGCTTTCTTACAACCATCACATTTTAATAAATTTGGTTATAAAAAGTAGATTGTCTCCACAAAAAAAAATTACTAGAATGCTGCAAAAAAAAAAAAAAAAAAACCCCAAATAGGACTATGTTGACGATCTAAAATGCAAAACAGATAAATTATTCAGGGTCATACGCACGCAGAATTGAGTGTGTGTGACGTACGTAAATAACGCTCCTCAAATAGACCCATAATCTTAGGATATTGACTGCAATTTCTAAGATTATCAGCTTAAGCTAATTAGCTCCCTTTTTTGGCATTTTCTTTGCTTCCTCCTCTGTATCTTGCAGTACCTTCGTGATTACCAGAAATTTGTTGGCACCGCTCGACACTGGACCGAAACTTTTGCGAAAATTGCTTCTATTGGAATAGATGAGAAGGTAAAGCAAGACCCATCTCCTTCATATCTTTTATGTGGAAAATTTACATGCATACCCAACTTCATTCCTATGCATTTACATATCCAACACCTAAACTTCAATTTTTACATGCATGCCGCCTTACTTAGGCGTGAAAATATGTATTCGACCTTTTAAAAGTATAAATAGTGGTATTTTGATGTGATATAAAAGATTTAAGTGCTATAAATGCAAAAAAGTATAGTAGTTAAAATGAGCAGGTGAATAATTTGGTTGAGATGGGTTTTCCTGAAGATGTTGTCCGAGGTGTCTTGTGTGGTGTGCATGTAAATGCCCCATTTTTATTTTTCTTATGCATAGTTTCATAAAGATACGAGAAGTCTGGTTTTATAAAATATTAAAATGAGCAGGTGAATAAGTTGGTTGAGATGGGTTTTCCTGAAGATGTTGTTCGAGGTGTCTTGGAAGCTGTTAAGGGTGATGAGAATGCAGCACTGGAGAAACTGTGCTCTGGCTGACTGCTGACTAACAGGTTGGGTTTGTTTTTACAGCTTTTTTGCTTTTCAAGAGAAAAAATTGTAGAGATTGTTTTTTTTTTTATACAACAAACCCTTTGCTTTTCATCTGTTTTCTGTGATTTCATGTTTTGCACATGGATTAGGTGAATTGAATTATGAGTGATTTTGTTAAGAAGAGAAGTATATATATATATATATATATATATATAGTTGTGAAATTACACTAGGTGTTAATTGTTAATGAATTGGATTGGGGTCTGATGTGAATTGAAACGAACGAAAACCGAATATGCATTGTTTGAATCTTTTGGGAATAGGTTGTTTGCAGCAATAGTATGTGAGGGAGGAAGTTGCATGAAATATGTGATTGAACTAAACCAATAATCTGTTAGAAATGCAGTAGCAAAAAGAAAGCTATTGTATAATTATTGAGACCAACAGCCCACGTTCGCCGCGTTCGAATTATTCAAAATTTCTGATTGAACTGCTTCTTGAACTACCGTTGAAATTAACTTTGGCTGCTTATTAAAGCCAGGCACAAATATAAACTTTTTTTTAAATTATTTGTGTGAATTTATCCTCAATGGGAAGGATGGTTGTGTATCACATATTATTAGTTTTTTTTTTTTTCTTAATTCTAATATATTTACCTATAAAATAAAGAATAAATACTCTTTATTACTTCTCATGCATAATTTTAAACATATTTGATTACTTCTCATGTTAGTTGAAACCATGAAGCCCGTTTAATGTGCGAATTTAGAATTTTGAAGTGCAAAATTGATATAAAACATGTTTTCAAGAATTGATATCCTCACAATGTATTAAGAAATATATATATATATATATATATATATATATATTTACATACATGCCACTCAATTCTCATGTATTTACATATCTAACATCTATAATGCCTTCATACGTAACAATGAAAAAGGCAGCATCACTTTCTAAAAGATAAAAAAGGTAATATTTTTTTGTGATTTAAAAGATATTGGGTGTCGTAAATATTTAAAAAAACAAAATTTAGGTCTTCGATATGTAAATACATGAGAATTGGATTTTATGCATGTAAAACAAATAAATAAATAAATAAATAAAGCAGCAGCTACACTACTTGCGTTTGATTGGAGGAAGAAGAACCAAGGAACTAGAAAAAAGATAACTGAAGCAGCAAATTTCATGAATAAAAGTTTATCTGATGAGCTGCGTATTCCAATTGATTGGCTACATTTATCATAAAGCTAAGAATACACATATTAATATTACTATGTACACAAACCGCAGTTATTTATTTTCTAGCTACACTGCTTCCTTCGGGCAGCTAAAAAAGTTCACCTCCAATCACAGATGTCCTGCATCAACTGAAAAGCAAAAAATAAATAACTAAATAAAGTTACAATGAGTCAGAAAAAAGCTACAATTAAACTGAAATTTAAAAAAAAAAATGGCATTTTTATGACAACAAGCTTTTGAATTAAAGAAAAAAAAGAAGAAGCGCCATTTAGATTTATTAACAGCAGATTAGACCTTTGATTGGGTGTTCGTTAACTTTGATGAGGATCTTACAGCAAAATATATAGAACGCAACAAATTTATGTATATGCACTAAACTTTACAAGAAAAAAACAAGTTGTGAATTCCAGATCCAAAAGCACAAAAAGGATGAATCTAAAGTTTTCTGATAAAGAAGTGATACACAAGGTTCTAAGATTAAGTTCCAAACATAAGACAAAGCTACATGGACGGCGACACCATTTTTCATAAGTTGGCACCAGAGAGGTGCCAGGGCTATACACCATTGTTGGCTACAAGAAGGGCTACGCAAGGAAGTGATGGCAGTATCATAAGTTGTAGGGCTATTTTGATATATTTATCCTAACAATAATTTTGACAATAAATTCTTTTTTATTCTAGATATATTTTAGACATCATTTTAGCAACCCATTGCCCGCCCATATAAAGGAGATTGTGATAACATTTTTTCTCAAAAAATTCAAGCCCTGCAACCGCTGAAGAAAACAATGTCATGCAAGACGATCAAAATGAAATTTAGAAGAAAAAGGGGCATTTACATGCATATCACCTAATTTCTGTGTAATTACATATCTAACACAAAAACTGTATTCTTTACATTATACCACCCGGATGTTTCAAGAGAAAAAAAAAATATTACTATTTAAACTTTTAGAAAAGTGAAATATGCCTTTTTATGCATAGGTAAGGTGACATGTAAAAATTGAAGTTTAGGATATTTAAATACATAGGAATTAAAAGGCATGTATGTAAATCTTCCATAGAGAGACAGAAAGAGAGTTCTACATTCAGCATCATACCTTGAGCAACTAATCCCAAACCTTTGGCAAATGGCCGTGTGTTTGAGAGAGAGATTCTCGTGAGTGGCGGAGAAAAAGAAGGTTCTTCATGCACCTCTTGAATGAGGACAGCCTCAAGCGAAGTAGACCCTGTCAAAGTTCCTGACCTTCGACCATTAGAAGGTATCGAAAAACTTCGAGCCATGACCGGAGGTGGTGTCGGCAGCGGAGACGCCGTATTTGATAACATTCGATTAGCAGCATAAATCCCTTGTCCTCTCAGCATCAACGGCCCTGAATGGCCAACCAAAGCCGAAGGCCTCGCAGGATTCGTGTGACATATCGGAGGTCGAGGAAGCTCATGAAGTTCATTAATTTTTGGCGAAAAAATGGGAAGCGGAGAGGCGGATGGGGACAATGACTTAGCTGATTGTATGCGTCCTTGAGACAAAGAAGGTCCAGAAGGATAATCTACTGACTGAACATACTCACTGGTAGCTAATCTTTGATTGTTTCCCCAATTTTTACTCATTAGAGGACCAGAAAAGGCTTGTCTTTTAGTGAATTTGGTCTCAGAAGCTCCACTCTGTGAAATTGAGGGCAAAGGAGGGGGAAGTTTGATTGGACCACCATTAATGTTGCTCTCTTTAAGCACAGAGTGTGGACCAGGTAACTTTATCGGGCTGGATTGTTCATCTTTTAAATTTTTAGCAGGCTTATTTGTTTCCAATGGGGAGGAATGCCACAACTGTTTGGGCCAACCGGCTTTATTGTCTTGGATGGTTTCAGAGAGGGAAGCACGGGAGCCAAGGAAAGGCGGGCTCTTGGGATCCAATGGAGTAGGAAGAACATAAGTGTGGAGTTTCCTTGGAGATGAAGCATGGATTTGTTTGATTCCTTCGGATGGTTCGTGTTTTTTGTCAGATAAAATTGGAGCGGATTGGCTGGAAGAAATAGTCCCCCTGACAAAAGAGGGGAACTCTCCATGGTTCTGCTCAAGCACTTCCTGAAAACAAAAGCACATTAACAGACAGCATGCAGGATAAAAACTATGAGATTAAGAGCATGCACGTCTACTGAAAACAGATTATGGAGCATAGAAACAGGTTTTGAGACATGAATTTGACAAAACTAATTTGATATTAGCATTTCTGAAATGACAATTTATGTAATAAACATGATCGAATTGCCACCTTTAGACTTAATGGAGTGGTATTGGGCATACCATACACAAACTGGATCACTTTAACTTGATTAAATTCCTAATCATCTTATTTTAAGTTCTCCTCTAATGCCTTCTCTATGTATTATTCTCAACCAAAGTAAATTAAATCTTTTGCTTTATATTATTTGTTATTTAAATTTGAAGCCAGAATATCAAACCTGGCCTAAGCCAAGCGTGACAGAAAATAACAAGTTGAGATGGATGATGAGAAATCTAAGAAAAAAATAATGTTAATAAATATATAAGAGGTATAAAAATAATAGAATTTATTAAAGAAATTAAAGAATGCCACAAAAGACACAAGATGAAGTTAATGTGAATAAAAAAAAATGCAATGATTAGAATTAAACCAATGATTAATGGCTAGAAGTTTAAAAAAACAAAACAAAACAAAACAATCATAAACTACAGTTAACAACACAAACAACATTTAACACTTCATAAGAACGCATATGACATAAAGAGTCAAAAGGCCCATCATAAATGGCCGGGATAAAGCTAAAAAAATAATGTATTGTGCTACAATTTTTTAGTAAGTTTAAAAGCTTAATCTTGAACAAAAGATTTAGCATCTCATGTTTACTGCTATATACTAGTAGTCATAGTTGAAAATTATAAGCATGAAGCTAATTATGGCGGTCAAAAGAGCCCGTTGTTCATGAACAGCTCATCTTCAACTCATTTAAAAACTTGTGTTTCAATTATTCAGTAAACAAGCAAACCAAACATGACCAAATATTGAGCTTAAATTTATAAATGAGCTAAACACAAATTTCATTTATGTGATTGTATTCAACTCATTTTGATTTGAAATAATTGATATTTATTATTACTGTGGGCTACCTTAATAAGTAATAACTAGCCATAACTATTCATCAACTTGAATATTTCAACAAAAACTAAAATAAATTTAAAACCTATCCCGATAATCGGAAAAAATTCACAAAAGTGACAAAATTAGCAATGCATGAGTAAACAATTTAGAATAGCACATATTGTAAATATTAGATAAGAAATTCATTAATAAAAATCAAGAAAAAATGTACCTCCACTGAGTTTCTGTTAGTTGAACCAAGACCTTGAAAATGTTCATTTTGCCCATAATCAAAGCTCAGCTCGCTGTCTTCATTTTCATCATAGCAAAAATCATTATCTTCGCCATCCTCTGAGTCGTCTTCCTCAAGTCCAATAAAATCATAATCAATATGCCATTGTTCAGCCACAGATTTAACATGTGGTTCGACAATCTCAAGTGATTTTACACCCTTTTTAAAAAAATTTAGCTGAAAAAATGCAGAAAAAAAATGCTAAACTTTAAATCATATCTCTCATTCAATGGAAATAGATAATGTTAGCATCTAGAGCAGAATTAAAAACCTGAGAGGCATGGTGACGGGCAGCCTGTGTGAGTAGACTGCGAGACTGCCCCTGCTTCAATGATTTCAATCGAAAAACAAAAAGATTAGCTTCCTCTTCATAATCTTCTCGAGCAGCCTGCAACTGCTGCATTGAGAATCCTTCACCTTTAGCATGCCTTGCCCTTCCTTTTTCTCTATGTGCAGCTAACATAAATTTATACAGATCTCTGAGAAGGATGTATTAATGTTAGGAAGTAAATATCTTTTATATTAAAAAAAATTAAGAAATGAATGAATGTATACCGTTTGTCGTCGCATTGGCGTTTCATCTCCTGCAACAAAACAAAGTCCTCGTCAGATAAATCTACAATAGCATTAATCATTTAAACCTCAAAAGACAGATACATAGATCACTTTACAAAAACTAGCATCAGTGCTTCAGAACTTAGAGAAGAAGAAGAAGAAATAAGGTTCTGCATTCACATGCAAGATGCACTTAACCAAAAGGTTTACAAGAACCAGTTTTTTGGCATTAATTTAGCAGCATGAGGGATCTGAAATTTATACTAATTATTTCGGGCTGCGGGACTTGACTTTAACTATAATTTCTCCAATACAATGTGCTTGGTTTGAAGGATTTTGAGAAAATGTAAATGCAAAAATTTTAATTCAAAATATCAATTGAGTATTTGGTTCCAATTTAATAAAAAATAAATCGGATTACAAAGAGAATATGAGCGCAAGTGCATTAGTATTTTATAATTTTCTACCCAGCCCTTGTAAAAAAACTGGGAAAAAAATTTTATTTTCTACCCAACTCCTGTAAAAAAATGGGTAGAATTTTTTATTATTAATGGTTGTTACTCGCATGTTACATTGTCACAGAACTGAAAAAGTAAATTTACCAACAAAGACACAATAAAGACAATTTTTTTCACTAATTACCAACTAATTTCAAATTCAATTCTTTTACCATTTCAACTCTTTCAAATAATTAAAACCAAACAAAGCCAGAAAGTCATAGGGCAGATTTATGCACAAAAAGAACCTTATAACTCTCTATTTTTAGAACGCCGGGCTCCCACAAAGGAATTCCAAACTTTTCTATTTAAGGATGGCAATCTCTATTACTCATGGACGGAAAAATCACCAACCCTAACCTACTATGCCTCTGCTAAGCAATTTTACACATCAGCAGCATGTCTAACTTCCAATGCCTCAACTGAGCAATATTGTATGACAACAAGCAGAGAAAAAATATAAATATATCATGCAAAGTATTGGATTACAAATTCAACGTGCATTTCATGTAATAATAGATTTATAAAATCATGTAAAAAAAATGTCTATTTTCTTCCAATTAGAAAAAAAGTTATATGAATTGTACCTCTACAGTATGAAGTTCCTTCAGAAGAGACTCTGATGGTGTGGTAATTGTCTGGATGATGTGGACACGCTAATAAAAGCAACACAATCAGCTCCATATAGAGGATTATTTCAAAAATACTAAAGGTCCATTTGGGATCACTTTCCCTTTTTTTTTTTTTGTTATTTTATTTTATTTTTAAAAACACATTTGCTTCACCTATTTTATTTTTTCTCTAAACATATCAACTTATTTTTAAGAACACTCAAAAAAAAATTGAAGTTTCTTAAAAAGAACTAAGCAAATCTTAACAAACCAAAGATGTTTTATTTCAAGTCAAAAACATAACAAAAACAAAGTAAAAACAAAAAATGAAAAAAGTAAAAGTGATCTCAAATGGCCTCAAAGGTATTTCACATAAAATAAGTTGCAATTTTATATACAAACATCAAGACTCACATAGCTATCAACAAGTTTTTGGAGTTCAAACTGCACTTTCCCTAGCATCAGCAAAACCTTGCCTGCAGAACAGATAATTAATAAAAAAATAACTTACAGAAGGTCAGAAATAAAGGCAGTTCATCGATTAACAAGAGCTATTAGACTTTGCATGTCGAATCTAAAACAAATATCAGGGATTTTTTACTTCACTGAAAAATTCTAAGAACATTAGATTTCAAAGAATAAGATGCATTTGAGGAAAATTTAGCCATAAGTATTCCAGCTTAAAATAGCCTAATTGTTACTTTAATCAGAAAGATTAAATAACAGCAGCAAGCAGACTGTCCTCCACAGTTCAAAGAATTCCACAGAACTGAAAGAGTAAGCATGGTCCGCTAACATATATACTAGAAAATGAACCTCTAAAGAATTGCTATGCAAACTAACTTAAAAATGTTCGGTGACATATTAATTATAATTAGTAAGCTTTAAACTTTTCCCCAATCATTGCATACACCTACAAATAGAATATAAAACAATACTTCAGCATTACCACTTTCTTCGTCATCATTTAATGAAGTTTTTTCGAGCAGACAGGTGCCCATTTCTCGCAGGGCTTCGGAGAATTCTGGAGTAATGAAAGCCATATATTAACACAGTTGCAAAAGGACAAAAAAATGCTATCAGAAATTGTACGGTAAAAAATAGAAAAGAATTAATGAAGATGTTTCAACATGCAATCTGAACATTAATAATAATAATGATGATGATGATGATGATGATGTTCTGGATTTTCTTATTTGTGTAATTCAATCTTCTTTTCTATTTCCTTTAATCAACTATGATCCCCTTTTTCACTCTTCAATTTACTTTCATGTGGTTTCAATGCCCCAAGATATGTTTCTTTATATATATTAGAATTAAGGTTCCTTTTGACAAAATCGTCAAACTCCAATTAGTTTTTTAACACAAAAAAAAGAATTATAAAAAATCAAGGTAGAAGTAAATTTTTAAGTTGAAAGGGACCTAAATATATAGCATAAATCAATATATAAGAGAAACATATATGGACTCTGTGATTCAAACATCGGGAAACAAGCTTTGAAAACATATTATGATACACTAGAGAATTACCATATGCACTATTTGCCGTGGCAGCAGCTGCAGAAAGTAAACTATCATAACAGTTCCTCATGTCTAACACATCCTGCAAAAAGAGAGTTTCAAGTTTCAACATGGACCAGTGATCTTCAAAATAAACACAAGCATAAGCATAATATCTCAAATATTTTGAGAATTTCTGCATTAGAAAAATAAAGCAAGCATCACCAGCTATGAAGAATAGAAAGATAGCAAAATACGAGAAAGCATTGCATTCAACTTTTTTAGATAAGTGACGTAGCACCATGGCAAAGCTGATTATAAACCATCATCATTTACTAATCACATAATCCAGAAAGGAAAACAAACTGTCTGATGCTCAAGAAAAATTGGAATGGTAAAATTATTAAGGAAGATTTACATACATACCACTCAATTTCTATGTATTTAAATGTCTAACGGCCAAACTTCAATTTTTACATACATGCCACCTAAACAATGCATGAAAATATCTATTTAACTTTTTAAAAGTTAAAGTGGTGGTAATTTTTATGTGATGTGAAAGATTTGAGTGGTATGAATGTAAAAAAGTAAATTTTAGGTGTTAGAAATGTAAATATATAAGAATTGGGTCGTATGCATGTAAATGTCCCAATTATTAATTGTGAAAACAAGTAGAAGCCTCAAGTATGCCACCAATATAGACAAATTGTTGTAGTTCACCCACTCAATCTAAGCAAGCCTTGAACTTAGCCTTCCCAAGGTCGCTTCTGTAGATATTAAGCAAACACAGCAAGAAGAGGTAATGCACATTCTATAGGAAGCTAGGCTCATTGTTTATTAACTAAGTGCTAAACAAATACAACTAAATTAAACAATAACCAAAAACCTGAATCCAATAGTATTGAGGGCTGAATTCTGTCCATTGACCAAATGCAATAATACTGTGCTGAAATCATGAGTTCCATTCAAGATAGATTCTTGTCAAAACTTTCTGAATGACAGAAATTAAATCAAAAAGTTTGAATTCACAACCAAATGGAGCTATTCTCAACGTCTCATCATTTCTGGTATAAAGAAATTGCTAGCCAGGTTCCATACCAAGAGGAGAATGGAAGTTCCAGGAAATAAAATATTGAGTTGGCGCAGAGACCTTTAAGAAACGTTTAAGGCATTGCATTGCATTTTGCACATCCCAATGTCAAAACTTGGACTTCACAGGTAAGTAATTCTAGAAAGTTGCCGTTCTTTAGAGTTCCTCTAATTAACCCCTGATCCTAAAATGCATGCAATTCAAAAAGAAGGATAGTATATGATGCATCCAAAACCTAGAAAAATTTACGATTCTGTTCATGGGAAATTTATCCATGTAGTTAAATAAAGCCAGACTACAACTTTGGGATCCAGCAAACCAGAATTTCATACCCCAATCCGTAATCAGAGGATTACGCAGCTTGATAGGGAAGAAAAGCAAAGAGAAATCTGCAAGTTAAATGCATCGACTATAAGCTTTGTCATTAGTAAAGCAATACTTGAATGTTCACAGAGGAAGTCGCAACAGAAACTTCTAAAACATATGATTTTCATCATCTATTCAGTTTTCGGAATCACGACCAGGTAACGCAGAAAAACAAATGCATCACGAGAAACAACCACATTCCAATGCCCCAAATCACCAAATTTCCTTAATAAACTCATCATCCTCAACCTGAGAACCAGATCGCCAAAAGACACCAACCCATTTAGGCGAGGAGCGCGAGAACGAGTACCTGAGAGGCCTGTAGGAGCTCGTCTTGGCGAGCAGGGATTCCATGGTCCCTCTTCTCCTTTAGATCGGCACTCTTGTGGAGGGCGAATCCTCTCAGCTTCCTCAAAGAAGACTTCATCTCTTCCACTCCCAATGAAGCAGATCGAATGAAAGAAGGCGAAGAACTGTTGAACAAGTTCTCCACACACAAATCCAACTCTTTGCTCCCCGACAGAGAAAGAACGAGCGTTGGCCAGCGAGGACGAAGAAGGCGAAATCAAGAAGAAGATCCCGGAAAGCCACCCACACTGAGAAACCCTAGAAAGCCAAAATAAACTAGCAAAGAAAATGATCCAAGCGGGTGGTAGTCCTCCCTCTTTCTCGCTGCTCCTCCTCTCTCTCCATCTTATGCTTTCCTTTTTTTAGCACCTTCTATTTTTCCGGTCAAAGATGACATTTGACCAACAACGCAAACACAGGAAAATTAAATAAACAATTAACAAATTGAAATATTTACAAACATACCCACATAAATATATATTTATATACATAACACCCAAAGTTTAATATTAAACATTAATACTTATAACACGTGTATCATAAACTTATGAAAATGTATATGTTACTTTTAAAAAGATAGTAATTACGATATTTTTGATGTGTTGTTGAAAATTTTGCATGGTATTTATGTAAATATAAATGTTTAGATGTTAGATATATAAATATATAAAAATTATGTGTGTAAGTGTCCCCCAACACATTTTGGGGAGTTTACATACCTACCACATAATTTTTATGTATTTGCATACATAACACCTAAGCATTGATATTTATATGTGTCGCTCAATCTTTACATCATATCAAAATATATCACAATTACCATTAATACATCTCAGAAAAGTTCCTCTTGATGGAGTGTGAATCTTGATGCATAACTGTAAGTTGCAAAAATTAAATTATGAATTGCCCGGACTTAAATTTCCGTTCAAGTGAATTATCATGATAAGACGAATCAAATAACATCAAATGTGCTCTGTCTTGAGTCGGAGTGGGCCCACATCATTAACTTAAAGCATAACAAAAAGCTTCATAACATAATTTGGAGATTAAATTATCTTTAAACTTGACAAGCTTATATTCAAATTAACTTCTCAATTAGACTAATTCAATGAGTCCAATATCGCTTAATTTTGACATCATTAAAGCATTTAGATACTCTTAAAATATCACATTATCAATGGAATCAATCTATATTGTCTGATAGGGTGGTCCAGATTGTAACAATTTTTACGAAGAATGTCACTCCCAGAGGTACAAATAGACTACTACTCTCTTTATGATGAATGGATGTATATGGATTAGAAGATTAAATGGAACTCTAATTTCTTGAGGATTCTCAAACAACATTATCTTCAAGCCATCATCGAAAGGTCACTATTGTGTTATACTAACATCATTGGCCACCTCCACCATCACCAAACTACAGTCCTTGTTGTCGGACCACTATCACAAGACCAATGTTGAGCTACCGTCACTATCAATAGACCATCATCTCTTGGCCACTACCATATGAGACCACTATTGTCAGGTTGTCGCCATTGCTGGAGCATTGTCTATGAGCCAAAGTCGGCACCCAACTACCATCGTCAAACCACTTTCGTTGTCCTTGGATCATCCTCTCCTGGTCATTGCCTCATAGAACCACTATTGCAGAGTTGTCACTGTCATCAGATCACCATCACTTAGTCAATGTCAAACGCACTATTCTCATCGTTAGACCACCGCCGTCATCACCAGTTCACGGTTGCCCTAACGCTATCACTTTTGTTGTATATAGTTGTCGTTATCAAATCATCATCTTCTTGTAATTGCAATGCCATACCACCATTGCTAGGCTGCCGCCATTGTCAGAACACCATCACCGGATCTATGTTGGGCTACGACCATCGTCACCAGGCCACAACCATCATCACCAGGCCATTACCGATGATGCTGAATTCAAATCTTTATGATACAACCTCTTTTATGAATCTTTTTATTGTCAAACATGGATCCTTGTCATTTTCCCAAGATTTTTCATCACGCTTCTAGTGAAAGTCAAGTTAATAACTCCCACCATCATAATATTATCTTCTAGTGATCATGGACAGACAAGTGCTCGTAAATCATAGTTGAATGGTGGAATCATTCCAACTAGGCTAAGCCCGAGATTTTGTCCCTCTTATGAGCTCTCATTCAATTCATGCATGTGTGCTAGACTTTTGTACTATCTTAAGACAATAATATATCACTGTAACGTCACAAAATCTCTAGCACCTGCAAAATGTCATGTATATATTTTAAGTGTTAGATATAAAAATAAATAAGAATTGTGCATTATTTTTATAAATTTTCCTTACATATTATAACTTACATTGCTCTATTCTTATTTCAAAATCTTAAATTAAATGTCATGATTTTTATGAAAATGACAAGTAGATTTATCAATAATGTTATGGGTGCTCCTAATTTGCTTCTTTGACCGTCTATAGTTAGTTGCCAATTTATATGAAAACATATAATTATATTTATGAGCTGTTAAATAGCTGATTGGAGTTATCTGCAAATCTAAAATTAGCCTGGGTATGTAATTTAAGTGAATTTCAAGTCAAAACTGACTTGCAAGAAATATGAATGGGGTTGGTTTGAAATAGTATTTATTTATTTATTTCGGTAAGGGTTTAAATAATGGAATAATTGAATTTTTTTTTATTTTTATGAAAGGCATGAAATATCTTAACAAAAATATATTAAATATGACAAATAAATGTTGAATTCTATAACTTGAAGATTTCGTTTGATTTTTACTTTTAAACTCTTCTGAGTGGAAAATGTAAATAATAAAAAAAATTGAGTTTTTAGTTTTTAGAATGAAAATTTCGAACTTAATTTATTTATTTATTTTTAAGAATATTTAGTTTTGAAAAGAATAATAAAAATTATGATTGTGATAACTAAGTTTTACATAGTTGATAACTCATCAATAAGTTTTATCATTTTAAATGAATCTTGAAATATTTAGCATGAGTTTTAGGGTTTTTTTTTTATAAAAAAAATATTCAAATTTAAAATTACCTAGAACTCAGATTTCAATAAACTTACAATTAAATGAACTGACTCGACGAGAAGAACATAATGACACTAAAATTTGTTCAATCTGAGTCAAATCAAGCCTGAATCAAACCATTAAATCACTTTTGAAAACTTTTTAGTGGCTAATTTGAAGTTCATATGAACTCCAAATCTGAAGAGTTTATAGTCAAATCAAGCGTCTAGATGAGAAAAATCTAACGAGCACAACATCACTTAATTCTAACATCATTAAGACACAAAAATGTCCATAATACATCATTCAATCTCGAGAATCTCTTTGGGTCGTCCAATGGAGTGGTCCATATTTTTTTCCTCATTTGTACAGAGGCCACTTCGAAACTTTATAAATAGAGCCCTATCTCATTCATAGATAGTTGGTTTCAGAAGAATGAGTTGAATTACAGTATCGTAACAAACTGAAGACCCCGCAAACGCTCCCCAAAGCATATGTCTGAAACAGGATCAGATTGAAAATACATTGTAGACATATCCCCGAAAAGGATCTCATGAAAGCAACTCACAAGCGGAGAATCAAGTATAAATACTCGTTTTAAGATCAAGAGTAGCTCCCAAAGGAATGTTCCTTTTGTTAATTACATATTGGGAGATATCCAAGAAACTCCTCAATAAAAAGGGTTCGCTTACATAATTAATGAAATCTGATTATTTAGGGAAACCAATGGGTTTAAATCATCTCGAGGGGAAGTCCTGGCGCTTTTGACATCTATATCGAGCCATAGGGTAGAGGGTGAATCACCATAACCACTACGGGCGGCGAGACCTAAGCATGCAGGGCCCACAAGACGATATCAACGATTCAATCAAAGGAATTGACAAGGCTTAAAAGTGGTGTCAACAAGAAGAAAAAGATTCCCTAAAATGGTGGAGGTGGTCGAGTCATGATACCACAAATCCGTCATCCCAAGCTATGTAGACCTTCAGTCTACTTGGTTATGAATATAGTCAAACCAATGCAACCGGAGGCTTCTTGTCAGCAATTTGTGATTTGTGTCGTCCAAGGAAGTCTCGGTATCCCCAAAGTCAAAGGAAAGAAACTCTAATTTTTTATGACCCTAAACATGTAGAGCTCAAAGAGATGGAACATACACTTGTCAAGAAAGCTGACAGAGTTGTCACTGGAAAGAAGAGAAAAAAAAAAGTTTAGCTACAAAACTAGAAACACTCCGCGCAAAGAACATATACCCCACCTAGGTTGGGGATGCATCAAACACTCTATTCGTACTAGACATCCTCCCAGGTAAAAATTTATGCTTGGCAAAGTCAGGCAAGGAGATGCACGAGGAGTTCTACTGGATATGCACATATTGTAGTTGTCTACCACAATCCTATTGCGTGAGTGCCCTATTATTTATGATGGAGATATGTTTATGCATGCAACTCATTTTAAAATCACCCTAGCTCTTTAAGGAAGAAACCTCATCACACTCTCCAAAAGCTCCCTTGTACTCACCTTTGCACTCCTTTGGCTCCTCTAGCAAAATGGAGTCAATCCATTTTTAAATGGGAGAGGCTACTTGGTTAAGCCAATCAAGCACCTCCAAAATGACCAAAAGGCCCCCAATAGATGTTTAAGAAGCTTCTAAAATGAGGGCAAAAGGGTCCTTTCACATTAGGTCTTCCCACACCTCAGTCTCATGATTGAAATCCCTGCAAAAATGGTGGTTTTGAAAGTCAAAACGGTGTAAAACATGGCCTGGAATCGTGGCTGGAAGCTGAACGCCACCTAGGCGCCACTCAACCTAGTGGGCAGGACTCAACCAGGCTTCTAAAATGAAACCTTGGCGCCACCCAGGCGTCGCCTAGGCACTAAGCTTTAGGGAAAATGAAGATTTTTTGCCTGTTTGGGGCTTTGGCGCCTTGGCGTCGAGGCTTTGCAAAATTTTTAAATCATGTGTTGGATCTCCGAAGGCTCGAGTTTGATGGTTCGAAAAGGTATTTGGGTGTGTGGGACCCCGGGGTCGGCTCCGGGGCGCTGGTTTAGCATGAAACCCTAATTTTCACCGGGAACATTCGACAAAAGATTTTCTTTGATCCGGAAGCTATAAGAGACTCCATGTGAGTGAAATATAGTCTCATCAATTCAAAATGAAGTATTATCTTTGGTCATTCATAAAAAAAAAAATCAGTTTCAAAGGTCGTTCTAAACCGCGACACGGGTAGGGTGTCTCGAACCCTAATTTTTCCATAGCACACATAAGTGGACTTCGTGACTTCCTATGTCCATAGGAGGTTTCGAATGGACATGCGGTGACTACCAATCATTAGATTAGGCACCAAGCACATCTCACATCCCGAACGGGCCTCCCGGAGGGAATTTTTCTGGGTAGGGTTGAATCACCACCACCGAACCTAGCTAATTGCCTCGAACAAGTGCCAGAAAGTCCCGAGTTGGTGTCTTGAGTTACTGATTGCTAAAGATGAATCACAGACCACTCTAAGCCATGCAAGTGGACACCCTACACTTGTGACATTAAAAATTGATGCCAACAGAATTAAGAAAGAAAGTTTCTTGTAAAATATCTAACTTACTTTAAAATAATGAACATGGAAAAAGCTTCACATTATTGTTTAGGATAAATTTAATTTGCCTAACCACTGTGGTGGTCTTGGTTTTACCTTTTTATACACTATTAATATTTTTTGTAAAGTCAAAATCGTTTGAAAATTTTATAATTCTAATTTGATTTTTCTAAACTGGTGTTTTGATCATCATGGATCTACTTGGAAGAATCCTCACTCAAAAATTCTCCTTTCAGAAAGATTTAATAAATGTGCCTAATAGAGTTGGATAATCTTTAAATTTCAAAGTTATCTCTAATAGTCATTTATTCTTCTTCTTTCTTTAGGGTTTAATGAATTATCTTTGAAAGAGCATTTTAGAGATATTATTTTCAATTTGTTTAATCTTTCTAATATGGCTAAAATTTGTGATATTTTTAGAAACAACTGTTGGAACTTTGATCCTTTTATCAATGTTGATATTGGTAAAATTCTTATTTCTCAAGTTAATTCTTGTCTTTGGAAGAATAAATATATGTAATATAATAAGTTGGTGTATTTCAACTTATTTGGATCTTTTCCTTGTGTTGATTGGTTCAAACTTAATTGATTTAATGGTTAGGCCATAAAATTTACTTTTATTTCATGGAAAATTATTCATAAAGGCCTCAAAACTTTTGATATTCTTACTTTACGTGGGATCAATATTAATAATATTTATGTTCTCTGTTCTAATAGTAGTGAGAATCATGTTCATCTCTTCTTTGAGAGTCAATTCTCATTATCTCCTCAATAAATATGTTCCTAATAGAAATCTTGTTGATGATTGTTTCTTGGTCTATTATTGTTCTGTTCCAGCTTTTGGGATTGCATGTTTTTTGTTTTTGATCAATAAATGTTTGTTTTTTAAGATATATATATATATATATATATTAAAAAACATGCCTCAAATAAGTAATCTCCCATATATGGATTATAATTGGCTGTAAAGGCTCCTCTCCTAAACAGAACTATTTAATGATGCAGTTTAATTACAATCTATAAAGCCATACTATCATTCTTATTTGACTCAAAATATTATATAGTTGCCATAATAGAGTCAATGGTTTGACTATATTGATGGTCAAACATTAATTCTCTTAAATTATAAATGATCATCATTTATTATTCAAAGTGCATGCACACTCTAAAATGATGTGCCTTTTAAAGATAAAATAATAATCTTGTTAGTTTCGTATAGGTTAATGAAGCATGTCACTTATTAGAAATACTTCCAAGCTCTCATAACTTGAAAGATAATGATATGTTTCTTTAAAAAATATTTATTTCCCAAAAACACATATTAGAAAAATTACATATTTTTTTTAGTCATTTAATCTTTTTAATTTTCTTTTTTGAGCTTCTTGTAGTTCATATTTTCATTAAGTAAAGTGTCAAAATATTTCCAGACTATTTGCATGAGACAATTTTAGCTTTAAAATTTATAGAAATGTCAAAATAGTCCTTAAACTCTTTAAGGGTCCATTTTGGGCAGTGATGCCGTGGCGGCAGCACCATTCCACAGTTTTGTCCTTTTGTATAAACTACTTTTTGGCAGTTTTTTAGAAAATTATCGATGAAATCTGCATTTTCCCACCGGTTCTGGCTAGGTTCAGTGACTGCTTTCTAGCCGCAGTACGACTTTTTTAAAAATATATATATAATAGCCACCACAACTTTTTATAATTTTATATTATTCTTAAGCAGTTTCACAGCAGCATCTTAATAAGTTGTAGCTGCCTAAATTGAGATTGAAATAGTCCTCAACTGAGGACTATTAAAGTCCTATGATATAATAATCGGAGACTATTTTGATGCTTCTACTAACTCTAAAACTAAAATAATCCAACATAAATAATTAGTAATTATTTTAGCACTTTGCTCCATTCATTATTTAAGAATGAAAATGAGTCATAATGCCCATCATTGAATGGTCAAGAGATAGAGATAGTATAGTATTATTGATTGAATTTTTAAAGCTATTCTGATGAGCGGGACAGCAACTTTCGTTGAATATTAAGATTTACCAACTTGGATAGAGTATTGAATTGGAAGAGAAATTTTTAAGTTATAATGGATCAATTGCAATTATATTGAGGCTTTAATGGGACGATATAATATATTTTAATATTATTTAAATGATGTATTAATGACGCAATGATTATATTTTTCATATCTTATTGTGCAGAAGACACGACTCTAGTCAAAATGACCCGCTATGTTCACTCACCATTCTCACTCGTTGATGTGTCAACTTTCCTATACTAGTTGTTGAGTTGATTTGCCGAACTATCTTGGCGGACTAGCTTGCCAAACTGGTATGACTATTCTATTAGAAGAACATAGCAATAAGATTCACTAGTCTAGCTCGCCTCTTCGACAATCCTCATAATTATAAAAGCTCAAAAGTCAAGAATAATATCAAAGATCTCATGTTCATTTATGAGACGTTTGACACATGTCGCAATCTTTTTATTAAGGGTCTATTTGGGGAGCAGCTACAGCTTATCCAAATAACCAGTTTATCCTGATAAGCTGGCCGCTGGCCGGTTATTTGCAGTTGTTTGTGGATAAATGACTATTTCATCTCTGTTAAGTAATATTGTTTGTCACAAAAATGTCTTGGCAATATATTTGATATTGCGGAAGCAGAAAAGTAAATTCTATTTTTGAGAGTGCATCTGCGTTTTGAATATTCTACTTTTTTTTATCCCTAAAGGCCTCATTAGAACACTTTCATCATGCTTAATTAGCTAGACACAATTTTATCCCTAAAGGTCTTCATTACACACGTCTATCCTGAATTGCATGAACCCACGAATATTATAAGGCCCAACGACCTAAAACAACCCCATGTCATATGTAAATAGTCAGGGAATATTTTTACACTTCACTCAAATAAATAAATAATAGAATTGAGATGTTGCAGATCAAGAAGCTATTTATGTAAATTCACTAAGAAAAAAAAAATCTAGAATGTAATAAAAAAAATAAATTAAATGGTGAGTGTGCGCATAGTATGACCTCTGACTAGAGGCCAAATGTAGAAGAATTCCTATTCGGTAGCCTATAAAATACTTCATGGAGCAATCATTATTCATTAAAAATATTTCAAACTTATGATATATTTAATTTTAGGTCAAAATTTCACCATGTTTTTTCTAACAATAAAAGTCGAGATGGTCCAATTCGCATCACGCAATAAACAAAAAATTCAATATTAAAATAAAATCCTACATTATACATTACCCACTTAATAAAAGAGAATTTTAGTAACTTCTAAAAGAGGAATACACCATCTCATGCATAGGTTATAACACCATAGAATTATAAATATAAGTATCAAGCTTTCAAGGGTTAAATATGCAAATATATTAGCATTATCTTTTATAATAGTAGGCTGAACTATGTTGATATGCTAATTATCTTCCCCAATGACTGCAACCCTTGCTCTACAGGCATGGCCTTTGTCACCCAATCAGTAAGGTCTGTGATGATAAGATAATTAGTTCAAATGATATCATTATATATATATGAGCCTCTGCAGAAAGATTTTTTAAAAGAATTTCTCAAGTGAATTTAATAAGAAATTCATAAACCTAAAATATCTTAATTGCAAGTCTAAACTCTTGACCACAACAACAACAACATCTCTGGCTAAACCTTATTGATTATGATCATGACACCTTTATTGTGACATGATCGTGACAGTCCATAAATAGTATCCACTGGGGCCATCCATTCACAATATTCGCTCAAAATATCCCAAATTTTGAAAAAGAAGAGAGGTGGCAATATGCAGAGATAGAAACGCCAACAGAAGAAACCATCAGCATTCATTTAAACAATAAGATCAAAGTATACAGATCAAAAACTTCAATAGTTCGCCAAATAGGGAGCTATAAATAAATAAAATTAGGACTCAAATAGGAAAAACTCACCAGAATCGTGATGGCTGCTGCTCCTAAATTTCACCTCACAACAGCTGCACCAATCATACATAACAACGTTTACGAAATAGCACCAAAATTTAGTTTTGGAGGTGAATTATTTAGTCTTGATGAACCAAAAGATAGGAACTCATGGGCATTGTTAACTTGCCCACAGTCTATAAGTCGAGGAGTAGACGGCGAGGATCTTCAACAACATCCTTGATCCGTCGCAGGAAGTAGACGGCCTCTCTTCCATCAATTAGCCGGTGATCGTAGGTCAGAGCAATGTACATCATAGGCCTCGGAAGAATAGTACCGTCGACGACCATAGGTCTAGAAACAATCGAATGCATTCCCAGAATAGCCGACTGTAGAAGCGTCGTTACAAATTTAAAAAATATGAAGGAAAATTTACATGCATACCGCACAATTCTTATGTACTCACATATCTAACACCCAAAGCTTGATATTTACACTTCGAACATATCGGTATCATAGCCATATGCATGCAAAGCAAAATTTACATACATGCCGCACAGTACTTATGTATTCACATATCTAACATCCAAAGTTTGATATTTACACTTCTAAGACATTGACATCATAGCCATATGCATGAAAAGGTATGTCTCACTTTGTAAAAGCTAGTGTTGGTAGTATTTTTATGTGATGTTAAAAATTTGAGTGATATGCGAGTAAATATGAATGTTTAGGTGCTAGATATGTTAAATAATATAAGAACTGTGTAGCATTTATCTAAATGCCCCAAATATAAAACCATAAATATAGAGATGATGGTGTACCTGTGGAGGGTTGATGATTGGTGTGCTCAAAAGGCTTCCATAAACGCCACCATTTGATATTGTGAAAGTGCCTCCAGCCATTTCATCAATTGATATTGTGCCTTCGCTTGCCCGCTTAGCCAGAGTGTTGATGTTTTTTTCTATCTCGGCAAAATTCATCTTATCCGCATCTCGAATAACCGGTACCACAAGGCCCTGAGAAAATATAGGTGAATTCGATGAACAATGAGTTTAACCAGCACTTAACTAAGATCATGAGTCGAATTTGATCACATTAAAGTTTTATATAAATCTAATGGAAAGTATCATCCCCTAAGTTATGGATCATATTGGCTGCATCAATACACAAATAATTCTTGTAGGGTGTGAGATTAAAAAACATAAAAGAGGCAAACAAAAATTCAATTGACTCTATGAGTGCATATGGAAAAATTCCCATAGAAAACCAGTGAGTGCTTGAAAGTAGGATAAGAAATATGGAAAGCCAAATCACAAACCTCATAAAGTAAATGGCGTTCAAGAGAATAATTGCCGCACAAAAATAAATGATTGTTTCACTCACAACCAGTCATGTACACAGTGGAAACAAGGTAATATTCCCTGAAGTGGAGGATGATAACGCCTAAAAGATGACATGGATCCTAATGGAGAATAAAGGGATTTGGAAAATGATATAAGAATATTCTGAAAGCAGACTAGGGCTTGAAGCTACGATTGAGAAAGATGAGTATGACAACCACCCTCCAAAGTCTTAATATAAAGTCGGCATATATCCAAGTCCCAAAGCTAATAGTTTCCTTGATCCATGAAATATTGATATAGATATTAAATTAAATTCTATGAGATTAAGCTTTATTAGAAATTAAAATAAAGAAAAAAAAATGTATGAAGGTTTAGTGGGAGAAACCATGACATGTATATCTATCTATCTATCTATCCATACATACATACATACATACATACATACATACATACATACATACATACATACATACATACATACATATATACACAGACAAATGTATGAAGGTTTCACACACACACACACACACACAGACATACATACATACAGACACATACATACATACATACATGCATGCATGCATGCATGCATACATACATACATACATACATACATACATATATTTCTTTCTTTCCTTCTTATATGTGATTGCCTAAGGGATTTATAAGGGATATGATGCGAAATCAAACAAGGTAGTAAATTATACTAAGGTGATTCTAGTGAAAGCAGGAGATTACAAAATATGGGATTATATCCTTACCAAATTCACTCATAGACATACTTCCTTAATTCTTCAGCCATGATCTTGCTCTTTGCTCGGCCTGCTTTCATTCTCTTCTCATAGCCAAGATGATGCCTTCCTTGCGCTTTGAATGCTCCAAAATTTGATCCTTCTTCCATTTGTCAGGAAGAATGTATGTCGTGTGCATAAAGAAAGAAAGAGAGTAAAGTTTGGAATTGAAGAGATAGACTGGAGAGTGGCTGAAATTTGCTGATAGGAAGGCCTCATATGACTGATTAGGTTTATAAGAAAATTATAAAGAGAGAGAGAGATCAATTAAATTGGACCACCCTGTGAACGAATTAATATTTATAGAAACATAAAATCCTTAGAAAAAAGATGTATAATTGAAGATTGTTTTGCATGAAATGAGGCTCAAGTACAAGCTCAATTCACTTTTAGCAATGTGAAAGTAGTTAGGTTAAATCAGAAAATTAAGAATCGCATGTAATATTTGAGAAATGGTTTACTCAATGGGAATTTTTTTTAGTTTATTGACTTGAATCAGAACTTTTTTATTCAAGCTTCATAACATCTCATTTGTTTAATAAGTCTAGCATTGTCCAATATATTTGTGTTATGTTGGAACCCTTTAAAACCCTTTGATGCTGAGCAGATTGCTCGATGTTCCCCAGAACTCCCACGATTGCAAGAGGAAGTATCGTCCGTAGTGAAATCCCGTCTCCTATTTTCAGTCGATTTCTTTTATTTCTATTTTTTTTCTTTTTCTCAATTTCTTATTAGGTTTTTTCTATGAGAGAACTATTTATAATGTTGCTATTTTCTAGTTTAGCAATTTTTTTTTCTTTCTTTGTGTGTTTTAAAGATTGTATCTTTGATTTCTACCCTCAGGATTATGGTATCCTTTTCCTTCAGCAAGTGGTGGTATCTATGCAGGTACAAGTAGTGAGCCTCCTTGACATATATAGCATGTTGTTTCATGGTTTTCTTTGTTGTATTCAGTAGGGATAGACATCGAACGTCGTTTATTCCCCTCCAAATATCGTCAATCGCCCATATTCTCAATCCCTTACTATTTCTCCACTCCTCCATGTCAAATCAAATCCCAAAACACGACCTAGAAGGGTATAACCATTTGCTATGTTAACTTCATGGAATTTTAGAGTCGGATTTACAGTGCAATAAGTTGAAGTTGTCACCATGGACATGTGAAATTATTTTGTTACGCTAGACTTGTTAAGTTAGAGATTGATGTGTGGAGCATGCCCTATTCCAATAGCTCTGCTAAGGTACATTGATTTATTCCAAGATAAAGTGAACTTTCCGAGCTTATCCTACTCCTGCACGCCTGAACTATAAAGCAATATTAATAAGGATACTTTAATAAGATTTTTTCTCTCTGACTTCTCATGCAATACTTTATTCCTTGGATTGTTCTTTAGAATGTTGCTCAGGCAAGGATGTTTTTATAAAGCTTGCCTTCCATTCACTATAGAATCTTATTACTATTATTTTATTTCCATTATACTTCATCTAAGAAATTTTGAAAGTCTTCATCTACAATTGGGTATTATGATATATATAAAAATAACTACGAGAAATATAAAATTACTTTAAAAGTGCAAATTTTTTTCCTTCCATAATTCAATTCGTAGATCAAGTTCAAAACTAGAAAAATTCCGTAGGAGTTTGTCTTTGTATGACTCTGAAGATAAATTATTTGATGATTATTTTTCCCTTCCCCTCCTATTCTTTCTTCATTACTGATTAAAAGTGTGATTGTGATCAGTCAAGCTTAAAAATATATATATAATTCTTTATGTAGTGTGAAAGTTCGTTAGTGAATAGATTTTGTGATCCACAATTCTCTAAGTCATAGTTTCTAGTAGAAAGTTTAAACACTTTCATCTGAACTGGATTCTATCGCTTCCAACACCAAAAAAAGATTAATAAATTAACTCCTATAAATTTGTGTATTTGTTGCAATTTTCCATACTGCATGTTATATCAACACACAATTTTAGATCCTAAGATGCACTACACAAGTAAACTTCTACAAAATAAAGTCATCACTACTCGATGCAAATATGGATAAGATACTCCAAAACTGCATTCTCCCCAATCATCAAGACATGGTGAGGGTTTATGCATGTGATAAAGATCTTATAGTATCTTTTCCACAGAAATTAAAATAGTACTACGTGTTGTAAAAATCAAAACATTGACAGACAAAATAAAGGAAAACATTCTTCTGCCAACAAACTGTTGCAGCTTATCAAACGATAAGTTTACTTTAAAAGGCCCTTATATTCGAACTGCCAAACTTTAGCAGCTATATAGTTAGCACAGTATGAAGGAATAGCTAGAGAACGGTTCTCCTGTGCTGGCAGAGGAATCTATGAAGTCTTTTATAACACATTAAAAGTGATAGAAGTTTCCAGCTGGAGAAAATCAATGGATTTGAAAGTGTACTAAAGGGAGGGTACAAACAATAACAGAAACATCAACAAGCCTTTATCCCACTTAGCGGGGTTGGCTGCATGAATTATTTTTCTCCATTAACGATAATGCATCTGATGCAACAAACAAAGCAAGTACCTTTCAAAAAAAAAGATTGGATGTCCGATGTCTAAGCAATCAATTAAGTATAAACTCAATTAAACCAGCATTTGTAACATCGAAAAAAAAAAAACCTTGGGTGTGCCAACAGCGATACTAATATCAATGTAGTCTCTGTAGATAATATCCTCGCCATCGATGACAGCATTAACAACTGGCAGGTGTTGCAGTCCACTAACTGCAGCCTTATAACATGAGATAAGATGCATCAAAACAAAATTATCACAGAATTGGTAACAAGTTTAGTGGTTCTCGCTAGTAAAATATTCTTACTTTAACAAAACCTGACATGAGTCCTAACTTTGTGCCATGCTTGTCCACAAATGCATCTTTATAATCAGAACGAAGTTTCATCAAGTTTGTCCTGCATGTGATGCATCAATACAGCAACCAGTAAATATTTTTTTAAAAAAAAAGGAATTTCAAAAACCAAATAAGAGTTTCAGTTAGAAGTTTTAAAGTATAGTGCATGGAATAGCTGCTAAGAATCCAGGATATTTGTTATTTCTAAGAACAACAAAGGAAAACTCAGTTAAAAGCTTTTGAGGATTTGGTAAAAAACAACAGCCACAAAAGGAGGCCGTTGGAAGTTAGTTTAGACCTCTAAAATGCCATTATATGGTTTTGAAATTACTTCGGAGAATTTAAAAATTGATATTAAGTATACATCATGCCCTTTCAGCAGAAAGTTACATGTCAACTTCATTAAATGTAGTAAGCATTGCATATGTGTTTTGGGAATCCTTCAACCGCGTCGCAACTCTCTTCCTGATTCTGGGCATAGGAACCTAAAATAAAATCAGTTGAAGAGTTATTACAAAATCTTTGCTGAAACATGCAGTAAAAAAAAATTAATAATAAAATTAAAAAAAAAACAGAAAAGATGAAGAAAGAGGCTTGAGATTTACTCGTCTTTCCCTCTCCTTGGGAGGAAGTTGTGGGTCGTTTTCCTCTTCTCCCCCGCTCGGTGGGAGGAGGTGGGGGTTCAGCAGCAGACAGTTTAGGAGGAGAAGAAGCTATTTTAGGCTTTTCTTTGATTTCAGCTACTCCAGAAGGCCTTTCTTTGATTTCAGCTACCATAGCAGGCTTTTCTTTTATTTTCTCTTCAGCATTAGGCTTTGCTTTGTCTGATTTCTTTGCATCAGATTTTGGGGTATCTTGATCTGGCTTCTCTGATGGACTGACATCTGACGGAGTGACATGTGTATCACTTGGATCAGATTTTGAGATGAAAGCAATCTTAGTCCCTGGTATGACTGTATCACCTTCCTTGGCAACCAACTAGGCATAGAGTGTGAATAACCAAGTTCGTACACAAATCAGAGGCAGAAACATCTAATATAGTAAATAAAAAATAATGATTCAAGTCAGTCGGGCACAAACAATGTAAACATTTGCTCTTACCTTTTCAATAACTCCAGCTTCTGGACTGACAACGTCAATAGTTACCTGCAAAAAGATTTATGAATCAATATTTAACATTCACAATGTCATGTACTCTCAGTTGAATAATACAAAACAAATCACAAGCAAAGAAATTACCTTGTCAGTTTCAACCTGAGCAATTGGCTCATCAACCGCAACCCTATCACCAGGTTCTAATTGTGACACCAGATAGCCAAGAAACCAAAGTTAGCAAATCTCAATTAGGCTATCTAACAACTCCCAGAATCAAATGGCTGAAAGCACACAAGTATAGCAAAGTGATTATATAAGTTAATGAATAGATGAGATGCAACACTAGGCACATGAATCAATACGGACATCAAAAAGTGGAATTCCATGATAGAATAGCTTCATCATTCAGGTATTGTAAAATAATCCCAGCATTCACTGTTAACCATCTATATTATTAATTGAAAAGCTAAAGATTTTAGACTTCGGATAAGAAGCCACTAAAACTGGACCGAGACTGCACAGATAGTATTGCTTCTCACTTACATCTATGATAAAAAGAAACTCCTTTTATTTTTGTCAGATTGCAGGATAAGACCTTAAGGGTTATAATGAAGAAGCCAGTGTACTTACATCTATTGGTTCCATAGTATTCCAAGATTTAAACATTGTTTTGCTGTGGCAAAAAAAAGGTCGGAGTAGTGTGTAAAGGCTAATTGTGCTGCTTTCTTTAAACTATGTGGAATAGAAAAAGTGTCGAAATTGACTTGACATTTCTTGAAACAAGATGGCAGAAGATATGGAAGATTAGAAACTAATAAGCAATTAGACGAGAATAACATAATCAAAAGTTTGAACAAAAAAAAAAAAAAAAAAATTGACAATGTCATCCCATGTTAAGAGTAGAGCATCAAAATAGATGGGTATGACAAGAAAACTGATAAAATTTTGAAAAGCCCTGAACCAAAAATAATAGTTTATACAATTAAACTTAATTGTAATGACAATGATGTAAAAGGACTTCGAGTTAGGAAAAGAGTTCAGGCGTGTATAAAAAAGAGGGGCCACAGAAGTTAAGGTTGACCTAAATCATGTTTAAAGTTGTGTTACAGTGAGAGCAGTAAGAGGACAAGGAGTAATCAGCGAGCATCATGACAAAAATAAAAGCACAAGAAATAATTTAGAGTTGAGTATGTGTGAATGCATACAAAAGTTGCTATTGAGGGAGGAGACTCTGGGAATCCGATGCGTGTTGAGGTGGACAAAATATTGGTTCTTAGTGCAATCAATATGTGCAATGGCAGAAACAATGCTGAGTGTGAATAGAAAAATAGGAGAGCGATATTGGAAAAATGGACGCAATGCTAGTTTCAAGGAGGTGGCTAACGCAAGAGAGTGGAGGGTTGTGGGATTGAGCGTGATACGAAGGTGATAGGGTTGCCTCGTTGAAAGAAAGTGTATTTAAAAGCGACTACAATCACTAACCTTGTTTTTAATTCTATATTGAGATGGAGGAAATTTTGTACAATGTTCTAGAGAACCACAAAATAAAGCTATACCACTATGCATGAACTGGTTTTCAAAATCATTAGAGTTCTCCATTCACAACCCAAGGATACACGTTTGAGAAGAATAGCTTATCTAATGATCAAGGGGCTTTTAAAATATTCATAAAATTTTTTCAATATACTTATATCATATTTACTACCCAATTGTTGATTGTTGATTCTTTTTCTCTTTAGGTAATCTATCACTGTAATTGTATAGTTGAGACACCTGAAAATCAAGACGACATATAAATAAGTTAATGTTACAAGTATTTTGTATATTATAAACTATTTAATCAAGAAGGATTAAAGCATGCAATAATCAGCAAGACAAAAGTTGTTTTTTAAAATTTACGAGACAATTCTACAATTTTGTAGGATCTTCTCTATATTTTTTATGACATTATTGCAGATGTATTATATATATGAATCATTTTTTATCTTTAAATGTATTTTATATCTTGGTTTCATCAACAACTCATAGTATCAAATTTTCTTTCAAGCATATAAAAACTATCACAGAAATATTTTATAATAAGAATTTTTAGAAGTTACTACTAGACGCCGTGATTATCTTTAAAAAAATGGTTAGAAGATATTCATTGTCATCCTAGACTGAAATATAAGACTACCGCCAAAATAAACTTTCAACATAGATTTAATTATGAAAAATTAATCAATATTAGACTTTGCATTCCCATTGTTATTACTAAAGCTGAGAAATAATTGGGCAATGAAACAAAAACCTTAGTGTAATAAGAGCAAAGATACATCTTATAAGTGAACTTAATGCTCGTGTATCTTTACTCGTATAAGTAAGAATGAGAATGAGCATCACTTACTCTTCAAAAAAGTAGCTAAGGTCCCATCAGTAATAGATTCACCCATGAATGGGACAACTGCCTCTACCAAGTCACCTTTACAACCCAAAAGAGCAAAATAAAATGAGTTTGATAATCTTAAAACCTATGTTTCAGAAGAATCTTAAACTGAAGAAAGGTCATCAAAAGCAATAGATAATAAGTTCAAAGATCAATGTGCAAGCTCCTACCCTTATCAGAAGAAAATGATCGACTCCATAGTTGGTATTGGGAGACCCTTGGAAGAAATCCGCTAAGTTCCCTGCACCACTTAAATTGATATTATACAATTATGGTGAAATGCAAAGAAACTTCAAAACAAACAAAATAACGAATAACGCAATGCCTAAGAAAATGATTAAAACTTACAAAAAAAACAAAAGTTACTAAAAGCTAATCAAACAGCACGCATGTTCAGGAAATACAAAAGTAAGAAAATAAAGGATGAAAACAAAAGTAAGAAAATAAAGGATGAAAAAAAAAAAGACTGCGACATATTAAACGACTAAAGAGTGAAACATGCTCCACAACATGACATAGAGAATCAAACAAAAGATGAAAAAAGGTTAGAAAAAAAGTTACTGCTACTGCTAACCTTCCTGAGCTTGAGCAGGCTTGAGCAGTGATGCCTACGTTGCACATGAACAAATGATTAAAGGGCGACAGATTTATCCAACACATACGCAACAAAATAATTTAAACGGCAAACTTAAAAAGTATAGAGGATTCACCTGGATAGATATGATGGCTAAAGCTCCGCACATGTCTGTAAGAATTCACCAGCAACAATTTCTGCAATAATTACAATGAAAACATAAAAGAAACTTCACAAGTTTAACAAAAAAAAAAAAAAGAATTCTGTCCATTGACCAAATGCAATAATACTGTGCAGAAATCATGAGTTCCATTCAAGATAGATTCTAGTCAAAACTTTTTGAATGACAGAAATTAAATCAAAAAGTTTGAATTTGCAGCCAAATGGAGCTATTCTCAACGTCTCATCATTTCTGGTAAAAAGAAATTGCTAGCCAGGTTCCATACCAAGAGAAAAATGGAAGTTCCAGGAAATAAAATACTGAGTTGGCGCAGAGACCTTTAAGAAACTTTTAAGGCATTGCATTGCATTTTTCACATCCCGATGTCAAAACTTGACTTCACAGGTAAGTAATTCTAGAAAGTTGCCGTTCTTTAGAGTTCCTCTAATTAACCCCTGATCCTAAAATGCATGCAATTCAAAAAGAAGGATAGTATATGATGCATCCAAAACCTAGAAAAATTTACGATTCTGTTCATGGGAAATTTATCCATGTAGTTAAATAAAGCCAGACTACAACTTTGGGATCCAGCAAACCAGAATTTCATACCCCAATCCGTAATCAGAGGATTACGCAGCTTGATAGGGAAGAAAAGCAAAGAGAAATCTGCAAGTTAAATGCATCGACTATAAGCTCTGTCATTAGTAAAGCAATACTTGAATCTTCACAGAGCGAGTCGCAACACAAACTTCTAAAACATATGATTTTCATCATCAATTCAGTTTTCGGAATCACGACCAGGTAACTCAGAAAAACAAATGCATCACCAGAAACAACCACATTCCAACACCCCAAATCACCAAATTTCCTTAATAAACCCATCATCCTCAACCTGAGACCAGATCGCCAAAAGACACCAACCCATGTAGGCGAGGAGCGCGAGAACGAGTACCTGAGAGGCCTGTAGGAGCTCGTCTTGGCGAGCAGGGATTCCATGGTCCCTCTTCTCCTTTAGATCGGCACTCTTGTGGAGGGCGAATCCTCTCAGCTTCCTCAAAGAAGACTTCATCTCTTCCACTCCCAATGAAGCAGATCGAATGAAAGAAGGCGACGAACTGTTGAACAAGTTGTCCACGCACAATTCCAACTCTTTGCTCCCCGACGGAGAAAGAACGAGTGCTGGCCAGCAACGACGAAGAAGGCGATATCAAGAAGAAAATCCCGGAAAGCCACCCACACTGAGAAACCCTAGAAAGCCAAAATAAACTAGCAAAGAAAATGATCCACGCGGTTAAGTCCCCCCCTCTTTCTCGCCGCTCCTCCTCTCTCTCTATCTTATGGTTTCCTTTTTTTAGCACCTTCTATTTTTTCGGTCAAAGATGACATTTTACCAAGAACGCAAACACAGGAAAATTAAATAAACAATTAACAAATTGATTAAGGTGCTATATGACCCAGCTTAACTGCAAATGATTAAGACCAGAAAGTACGACAATTCAACATCACATTGATTTTGTCCACACGATACCTATATCTGAAGTGGTAAAAAAAATTACTATGAACAGGGATTGACTCAATTTCAGTTTGATGCACCACCTCAAAGCCAAAAACAAATATTGCTAGGCAAGAATATAAGAACTGGCATTTTTATCAGTATTTTTTTGTCAAAAACAACCAAAACAAAAAATTGGATGCTCTATATGAACTTCGAAGCACCATCAAAAGCTTACTAAACATTATTCAAGCAATGAAAGGTGACCAAAATCTTGCAATAAATGCATATCAATTGAATCAATAACAGCATATTGCAAAAAGAGACAAAAATCTATGACAGTTTGAATCACTCACATGTGTAAACTGCTGAGATGTGTTTAAGACATTGATTATGCTGTTTTCACAAGAAAAAACAAGAACATTCTTCAATTATATATAAACCAGAAAGTATAGAACAAAGTGCCTCAACAGATGAACAACAATCGTTTATGTTCAGGACTCAATGTAAAAGAAGGCCCAAAATATATTTGAAAGAAGTAATTAACAGGGCTCACGGACTCGGTAAGACAGCATGTGATTTGCAAAATAGCACATCTTTCTCTAGGAGTCAATGCCCTGAATACATCGTCATTATCATCAAACTTATCCAAAGTCTCAATTAGCTTTATAAATCATCCTTTCACATTTACTGCTGATAAGTGCCATATAAGGTTTAACTTACTATTGAAACTCCTTTACAAAACTTCAAATCAACTTACTTTTAGTCTACTCCAATTCCATCGTAGTCTTTATTTTTTCTATATGTTCTCTTTAGTGGTGCATCCTCTCCCCCATTGTCAAGCCCAAACCTTTGCCATTATTAGATACTACTACTACCATCTCTTCAAAAAATTCTTTATCACTTTTTCTTTCTAGTTATATCATACATCATTATATATCACATACTTAATCTTTGTTCTATTAAACTCTATAATCACTATACTTTAAATATTATCTTCATTGATCAAACATTTCACTACTTTCCCTTAACTCTCAAATTTCAATAGGTATCTCATCCAAACAAAAAGTCTCAACTTTAAGCATCTTCTTCAATTTACCCCCCTTTCATTTTTTAAATCAATATATAGCATGCATGCATGCATACATACATACATACATACACACATCCATCCATCCATACAAGCAACATACATACATATATATAGCATGCATGCATGCATCCATACATTCATCCATACATCCATGTATGTATGTATGTATGTATGTATGTTATGTATGTATGTATTATGTATGTTATGTATGTATGTTATGTATGTATGTATGCATGTATGTATGCATGTATGTATGTATGTATGTATGTATAGATATATATATATGTATATATGTATACGTATATGTATGTATGTATGCATAGAAAGAGAGAGACACATGTATACATACATCTATGTATACATGCAAGTACGTATATGTGTATATTCATGTAGATGTATGCATATATATGCACAACTATGTATACATTTATGTAGATGTATATGTGTGTGTGTGTAATATTGTGCTTCGCCAACTATAATGTCTACAAGTCCTCCAGCTTTATAATCATCATTATATAAGTTTTTATTAGTAACTTGAAGGCATAACTAATTAACTTGAGGGCATTTATGTCTCTCACTCTACCATCTAAGATTTATTACCAAAGTACGATATATTTATAAACTATCCTAAAACATCTGCAATAAATTTGTCTTCACTCTTCCACATAAGGCTCCTTATAAATGTATGATTTGTTTAAAGATCAACCTAAAACATGTACAGTGATTTTCTTAATGGATTTCGCTATTTTATCCCACATCATGTTTAAATCAACTAAAGCGTGCCAATTTGTCTCCCTTAGAAACATATCTCAAAAGATTAATACTTCATCACATTTCAAATTCCACCATCTTATACCAGGACAATAATTTCTTTTTTATTTTTTTTTCATTTTACTTTTTCTTAATCCTCAAATAATATGGATTGAAAATATCGACTTTACATCCATTAATTATATACTTGATCTTAAACCTCTTATTATCTCTTAATTTTTCACTATAATTAAGCTTTAGAACTATGCTGTCTGAATTATATAAATAGCCCACGAAGCATAGTTTGCTTCGTATGAAATGCTAGTGCAGTGGCTATGTATTCTTATAGATGGTCCATCAGACCTTTAAGCTTCATTACTGAAAGTGTACACGATTGAATATTCAGTAAAAGTTTTCTTCTATATTTACATGAAGGAATCAGCATGAAAAGCAGGTGCTGCCAGTCCATAAAAAGACAAATAGATGCTACCGAACACAATCACATTTCAGGGTAAAAGAAGAATCCCTATCAACATAGGGCCCATGGTGAAATGGAGATTGAACCAAGGCATTTTTCAGAACTCCATGATATTGAAAATACCAAAAAATAAATGAATTAGTGCAAGTTTTCCTCATTATTAGGATGCAATTAAGTCACCTTTTACATCTCGGGAGACTTCATGAAAGCAGAAAAAAATCAGGAGCCTACAAATCAATAACTGAATTCAGTTCTTGCTTCCATTACAACAAAAACTTCCATGCCAAAACAACCCATCAAAACATGAAGAGTTCTCCTCTCCAATCCAAATAAAAAATAAAAATTAACATACAACCCGATTCAGAAAATCAAAATCATAACAAGCCCAACGACACTTTATCAGTCCTAATCCAGCAATCGTTCATAACATTCAATCTAAAAGACCTAAACACCAAACTGCGCCAGAAATAACTAAAACCCATAAACAAACGCCAGAAAAGTAACTTCACCGGGACGACAACCACTAAAATACACGAACAAATAGATAACTCCGATTTCAAAAGAAAAAAAAAAAATTCTCCAACATAAAACGAAAAAACATTACTCACCATCACAGGCCGGCGAACCACGCGAGTCAAACTCGACGCCATAACCTCCGATCTCCTCCGCACAAGCTAAACACAATCTTCTAATCGAAAGGAAAACGTTCGTTAACACGATATGAGAGTAAGGGCCTGTCTGGTAACGGATTTGGAGCAGGATTTAAGCTGGATTTAACCTGAATCTAGCCAGACGGTCATTTTCGACAAAATAAAGCCTGGGATTAGATAAATCCGGATTTCACGATTTTCGCCTTAAATCTCAGATTTACTAAATCCCATGAATCGGTGAATTTACTAAATTCGGGATGGACGCTTCGCGCGAAAAAAAAACGACGTGAAAGTTAGTTACCTTCCTCAATAGTTTCGGGTAGGAGAGTAGCAGAAGGAGGAAACAAAAAGGGAGTTTCGGATCTCTGTAGCCGCGATCCCGACGTTGCGTTACCAGCTAGCTCCAATTGCGACTGTATCGCGACGCAGGCGATGATTTTGAACGAAACAGAGAGAGGAGGAATGTACTCGAGGGTTTCGGGAGAGTCGCGATGTAGGCGACCGTTTCGTTAATTTTTATTTAAGTTAATTTGTTTAATTTAATTGATTACTAATTAATAATTAGTTATAATATTATCAGGTTAATTATGTTTTAACATTTTATTTATTATTTAATTATTAATTAATGAAAAATAAGTATAATTTCTTAATTCATTCCACAAATTTATAAATAATTATAATTAATAACTAATTATTTATTCCTTTATAAATGTTAAACTTTTATTTAATAACTCATTTTTAAAAAAAATTATTAATAATTATGTTTCTAATAAATATATAATTATGAATCATATTTTGAAATAAAATATTATTGAATTTAAGGAACTATTTTGGGTATTTTGAAATTTAGTTAAAAAGTGAAATTTATATAATTTACTAAATCAAATAATGTTAAAAGTTTAACGATCATAACAGATTTTAAAATCTGAAAAAAAAAATTTCAAATAATTTCACAAAATTTAATAGGATTTATTAAATTCGTTGCCAATTAATTTTTAGGATTGAACACTTTTGACGATTTATTAAATCTGGATTTTTAAGCTTTACTGAATCCTACTAATTTAAATCTCATATGTAGGGTTGTCAATTTGGTTTGTTGTTCGTGAACAGCTCGTGTTCGGTTCGTTCGTTAAGCCTAATGAGCCGAACACGAACAAATTTTTAAGCTTGAAATGTAAACGAGCCGAACACGAACAACAGTTTGTTCGCTTATGTTCGGCTCGAAATGACTCGAAAAAAAATTTATATAATTTTTTCTATAACAATATATTACATATATTATTTATATAATAATATATTATATATATTTATGTCTAAGTTTAAATCATAACACCTGAACGCCTCGTTAGTTTAGCGAGTCAATTTCGAGCCGAACACGAACACGCATATTTAAATCGAGCCGAACACGAACATCACGAGCCGATTTCGAACACGAGCCGATTTCGAATACGAGCTATTTCGAACGAGTCGAACACGAGCCAAGCCTGAGCTTGCTCAAGCTCAGCTCGTTTACAGCCCTACTCATATGCTGTCATACAACCCCTAAAGACTTTTCTAGTAATAGATTTATGACACAATTTAAGTTTGATTAAACTTAAACCTTTATGGGCGGTGCGTAAGTGAATAGACTCACAAGTCTGCATGTCCGGATGACAAAGCATCGACGGCCACATCGCTTAATGATGATGTGTGGCTGCCAGTAATTTATTAAAACATCCAATATCCATGCAGAATATTTTCCCAAATTCTCACTTCTAGTCCCTGCGAGAAACTTCTCAGTTCGCAGCTATACATACAATATGGTCTCCAGTCTCCCCGCGGTTAAACATTTCGTTCAACCCACACGCAGCTCCGGCGGTAGGGAGTATGCTGACCTGCAGGAATAGATGGGTAAAATTGACTATCAAAGGTCATGCGAACATAAATGGTTTGCGGGCGGTTTGTGCTAAAAAATCAAAACGATCAGTTCTTGCGGAACATTTCACGCTGCTTTTAATTGGGGCCACTTCTGGAAATTTATACACACGACACATATCCCAACATTCATATGTACTCATATATCTAATATTTCAACCAATCAATATATATGAAAATATCAGCATGGAAGAATGATAACTTAATTGCATTACACGAATATATATCTAGTATATATAGGTAAAAGAAAAATATGAGGGGGAGGCACTAGAATTTTTCATATGAAAAAATCGTAAAAGAGAAAAATACACGGGGAAATAGCTCAGTCAAAATAATATACTAGGGTATGTTATTCTCTCGAGACGAGGAGAACGAGGTTATCACGAGGTTATGATTTTATGTTGAATACACGCTTGTCTTTATGTAGCTCAAAAAATACATGTTTTAAGAAAATTCGACGGCAGTCGTAGTCTTACTGCAACAATTGTAAATAATGGTCGGTGGCGGCTGGTGGCAATAGGGAGCATGGGTCAACGGTGGCTAAACATCTAAGAAGAACAGTGATTACTTGTCAGGTCTTTTATCAATGATAGATTTTAAAATTTCACTTCTCATTCTCTTCTTCTCACCCCAAAAGAGTGTCTAATTATAACTTTGTAAAGAGGGCAGTTTAATTTTTTGGCGAACAACTTTTCTAACTAACTGATCAGATATTTTATGTTGATCCCCATTAATCATAGTTGTCTTCTTAAGGATTGAGGTGTCTTGATGACCTCAAAATTGAGTAATCTTATACTCGTTAGATTCTTTTGGTCAAGACGTTTGCTTTGACCACAAATGTCAATTTTGGATTCATTTAACCATTGAACTGACAATACAGAACTTCTAATTGTACTTCACTGACTCGATTTAGGTTTGATTGGTCCATGATCGAACCAATCCTACCGTCATTGGATTTGTCATCACTGGACATCCAATTTGACTATAAATTTATCAAAATTGGGTTCGGGGTGGTCTCTTATTTGAGTTTAGAATATTTCTTATTCATAAATATATCGAAATTCGTGATAGATAAAAAATTTGTCAAAGACAAATAGATATAAAATTAAAATAATAATAATATTTTTTATGTTATATAAAAATTTAGATGATATAAATATAAAAAGTAAAATTTAAGTATTGAATATGTAAATACATGGGAGTTGGGTATTTGTGTGGTATGCTTAAACCCTGCGCCATTGAGAATATAACAATGCCAAGGGTATTTTGGGAAGTAAAAATAGTATCGCTGTACATTAAGCCAATTTTTGTAACTAAGCAAAAATCATAACAAATTTAGCTAAATGACAATAAAAAGTATTACAATCATTCCTCCAATAAAATCATTGAGCGTGACTCATTCTTTTTTTCATTTTATTTTAAAATTTTGGGATCAAACTATCTAGGGGGTGTAAATGAGTTGAACACGAGCGAATCATGCTCAGCTCGTGTTCGGCTCGTTTATATTTCGAGCTCAAAAAGTGTGTTCGTATTCGACTCGTTTGTTAAACGAGTTGAACACGAGCTGTTCACAAACAAAGAGTCTTTTTAGCAACCCTAATCATGTAGCTATAAGAAATAAGACAACAAGGGTTTGAGCAAGATTTAAAAATTATTATTTATATTAAAACATCATTTGAATCTAATTTAATATTTTTTATTCTATTTTCTTAATCAATATTTTAATTGATTATAAATATAAACTTGATGAGTAGTGTTTCGAGCCAAAACGAGCCGAACATGAACGAACACATCTTAGTTCGTGTTCGGCTTGTTAACTTATCGAACGAAACTAATGAGCCGAACACGAGCTTCTTAACGAGCCAAACACGAGCTGTTCGCGAACAACGAGCCGTTTTGACAGCCCTAAAACTATCTACATTAAAATTGAACTGAATATTTTCTTGCTCATTAATTTATTTTGAAAATAAGTACGAATGTATGAATGATATAATTAATTGATTAATTATATATTGCATATATTATATGGGGATGTGATTAAGTATTTTTAAATATTGTTGGTTTCTAAATCATTTAGAGCTTGGTGAGGTTATTTAAATCCCCCTCATTTAACAATATGCACAATCAAATTGATTCATTAGATTGACGATCTGAATAGGCCACGCCAAACATGATAACTTACGAGCACATTGATGGAGATGCAACATAACTCTGACCAGCCAATTAGTGGAGAAAATTTTGCGTACGTAATAAGTACGCAGCGTTGCATACGTAAGGGAGGTTATTCATAGGGTATTGGGGGTTATATTCACGTTATACCCTTGTAACATTCATGTAACTTACCTGTAACATATTTGTTCCTTTCTGCGGTTCTGTTTTCATATATTTGTAGGTTACAGGAATGTTACATGAGATATAACCCCCAATTACCCTCTAAATAACTTCTTTGACGTACGCAGCGTTGCGTACATCTTACGTACGCAAATTTTTCTCCAATTAGTGCAAAAAAAATTTAAATAAATCTACAACAATCCATAAGACATTTATTTTAAGGGAAACACATTTTACACCAATATCACACAATTTTTATGCATTCACATATCAAACCTTTAAACTTTTACATGTACATTTATAACACTTAAAAAGCCTACAAAATAAATTCCTTTAAAATAATAATAATAATAAAAACTAGGTAATTACAACAAAGCTAATTCAAGGAGAAAAATGCAAAAAATAAAATTAAAATTACTTTATTGCAATGATAGTCTCACATTCAGTAAATTTATGGGGGAAAAAAAGAATAATGACATAAAAATACAAAAAAAAGTCATGAATTTTACTTGAAAATAAATAAAAAATAATAATTTGCATATAACTACAGCATTATGTCAGATTTTCTCCACACAGATTAACTTACTTAGTATCCTAAGTATCCTTCTGGCTTAAAATTCTGGTGCCTTCGTGAGCATGAAGGGAGCAGTTCATGTTATAACAGCCTCTGACATTCAGAAAGTTCCCTTTTGGCAATGACATAAATTTTCTTCCCTTCTCCTTTTTCATTGCTTTACACTCCGACCCCTGCAACAATAAATTGTTTCAAATTAAGCACATAAAATGAAATAAAAACTTTGATCAAATACATGAAAGAGAAAATTGATAAAATAGTCTCTTATTATTTATATGATGTCCTTTTAGTCCCGAGTAATATTTAATAAAATGATAAAAAAAACGAATATAATGTTACCCTCTTATTCCTCTAATGAAACCAGACGCGAGTCAAATTATACATTGAAGGGTTATTGCGGCGTTATTGGGAACCTATTGGAGTTGTTCTCGGGGGTTATGGAAGTGGAATTGCTGATGCTATTGGAGCGGTT